CTGGCCCTAATCCTCTTCCGTACTGCAAAAAACGTTTTGAAAATGAGTAAACATTTCTCAAAGGAACATTGCGTAACCTTTGGCCACTAGGGGTGCTAGACCTATAACTACCTGTATTTTGTTCCTACAGTACCGTAATTTTCAGACTATAAGCCCCACCTGAATATAAGCCGCAGAAGTTAAATTGCATGATTTGTACATATAGAAGCTGCACCGGACTATAAGCCGCAGGTTTTTTTATGTTTAATTACCATATGGTTCGTGCACAGAGAAGATTGCCGGGAAAGAGGCAACTGTTTGGGGAAGCTTCTATTTATTAACATTTCAACACAATTGAATTGAGACAATTCTTCCCGCTGGCGTCTCCAACGTCTCACCATTGACTCCTTGGTTCCAAGGTTACGTGCAGCGGTTCCATTTCCTTCGTTTAGTGCCAAATTGGCTGCTTTAACTTAAAAGCAGCATCGTATGCATTTCAACGTTTGTTTTCCATAATGAGGGTGTCACACAAACTGTCTTGTGCTCGCAATGTCCGTCTTTCTCAGAGTCTGCTTCCGGAGGACGTCGCGCGGCTACTTGTGTGTTAGCAGCAAATGTGACGTCAACATAGTGGATGGTAAAATCCATAGATTTAGTTACCGTATTACCCTAGTGGCCGTTAGCTGTAAAAGTCCATAGATAAGCCGCTTTGTTATATAAGCCGCAAGGTCGAAAAATGGGGAAAAAGTCGCGGCTTATAGTCCGAAAATTACGGTAGTAGCCATTCAAAATATCCCCACTTTCCTTGGTAGGTCCTTGGCTGCACTAAAATATTCTTTTTGTCATGATTTGTGGACGTTAGGGTCTAAAGAGAAGCGTCATCTGTTAGTCAGTGAAAGGGTGGAGTCAGCGTGTAAAACATATGCAGGAGGCGGTCACTCCAGTAGATGGAAGGTGGGGGGGATTTCGCTGGGAGCTGCAGGGAAGTTGGCTGCGTTTCAGCTGGTGTTTGACTGGGAAGGGCCATTTTGAATGGCTGCTACTGAACTAAACATCAACAATATTGACTAAGATCTATGACTGTACACTAGCAGCAAAGTATTAACTTATCAGTCTAATGATAAAGTTGAGAAAAGAGAATGGGTTTTCATTTGGCTTCTTCTTTCAGCCTACGCCAACATATAAACTCCTTTCCAAGATCGACTCTTGTTTTTCCTCGATCCCATTTCAGTTTTCTCTTTTTAGCCTCTTCAGAAGGTTTCAACTTTTTCCTTGCCTCAGCCACCACCAAAAGTCGAGCAAGTGGAAAAATATTTGACCAAAAGCTTTAGCTCCACGACTTTATAATAGCCTGTGGCTGTAAAGTTCTTCCAAGTCAACAACAGTGCATCTTCTCCCAACTCACATAGTCGGTATTTGAAGAGGGGAGCCCCGCTCATGGCCCGGGGAATCATTTAATATAACTTATGTGTCTACTATTTAGGTCACAAAGTCTGCGGTGTGGCTTTAAATTAAGTGCATTTAACCTTAATTTGAGCAGGTAAATGAGATGATCTGCCAATGGAATGAGTATTTTTACCATTAAAATAAGATTATTAGATAATATCCACTTGGAGACTGCAATTGTTTTTTTTCTTATTTTAAATGTAAATTGTCTTGTTTTATTGGCAAAGTGTCTCACTAAGCTGCTCAATACAAGAAAAAATGCATCCATTTTAAGAAAAAACTGACTTAGATTTACACTTTTTGCAGTTTTAAAGGCTGAAAGAGTCCTGCTCATGGAAAATAAGAGCTCATTTTACACAAAGTTTATCACTTTTCTAACTTTGACCGGTGAGCTGAACACAGGTCTAAAACTTCTCAGACAGAAAATCTGCCACATCCATGTCTGATAAAGTTTAACATGAACAGCACAGGGGCCATTATGCGTGTGCAAATGGCCGCGCCTCACCTTGGAAGAGGTACTCCTCTGTGTTCATGTCAGGATTGTCTGTAATAATATCAAACGGAGATCTTCCAGCCATCATCTCGAACATCAGCACACCCAGAGCCCACCAGTCCACACTGAAGCCTGGGGACACAGACAGACGGCGGTTTGTGGCTCATCAGAAAGACTCTCCATGAACGCAGAAACAGCCGTCAGCTAAAAACAGATCACAGTACGAACAGCCGAGGAAAATACAGGACTTAATTACTCGGCTGCAGCTTCTCACCGTAGTCCTCTCCTCTGAGGATCTCAGGTGCGATGTAGTTGGGGGTTCCACAGAAAGTACTGGTGGTGTCCCCTGGTCTGATCCCCTCCTGATCGATGACAGCAGCAGGTTAGAAGATTAAAAAAACTAAGGTTACCTGTAATCCCTTTGTTCACACAATGTCAGAGAAATGTTGTTAAATCTTCTGCCTGGCAGACCTTGCACATGCCGTAGTCCGTGAGCTTAATGTGTCCTTCGTGGTCCAACAGAACGTTGTCCAGTTTCAGATCTCGGTAAATGATGCCCTTCTCATGAAGGAAGTTCAGCGCGATGCAGATTTCTGCAGCATAAAATCTGTGGAGAAGAAAAGCGTGTTGGAATCACCAGGTAGCGCCACCAGCAGGCTAAAGCTGTGCACAGCGGGGCTGAAGTCCTGCCTTCAGTGTTGCATCATGAAAATATATGAGCAACTGTAACCCAGGGAACAGCAGACCGGGGCTCTGGGGCCACATGTGGCCCTCATCCCCTTCCTCATTAGTGATCATAGCAAATAGCATGTATTTATTATCAGTCGTTGCTAGCAGAATTAGTTTTTAATACAGAACACTGAAAATAAACTTTAACCATCCATCTGATTATCTAGTTTCAGCTGACCTCCTCCAGGGATCAGTACCCAAAACTCTCTGGCTGTAGAACCAAANCTCAATACAAGAAAAAATGCATCCATTTTAAGAAAAAACTGACTTAGATTTACACTTTTTGCAGTTTTAAAGGCTGAAAGAGTCCTGCTCATGGAAAATAAGAGCTCATTTTACACAAAGTTTATCACTTTTCTAACTTTGACCGGTGAGCTGAACACAGGTCTAAAACTTCTCAGACAGAAAATCTGCCACATCCATGTCTGATAAAGTTTAACATGAACAGCACAGGGGCCATTATGCGTGTGCAAATGGCCGCGCCTCACCTTGGAAGAGGTACTCCTCTGTGTTCATGTCAGGATTGTCTGTAATAATATCAAACGGAGATCTTCCAGCCATCATCTCGAACATCAGCACACCCAGAGCCCACCAGTCCACACTGAAGCCTGGGGACACAGACAGACGGCGGTTTGTGGCTCATCAGAAAGACTCTCCATGAACGCAGAAACAGCCGTCAGCTAAAAACAGATCACAGTACGAACAGCCGAGGAAAATACAGGACTTAATTACTCGGCTGCAGCTTCTCACCGTAGTCCTCTCCTCTGAGGATCTCAGGTGCGATGTAGTTGGGGGTTCCACAGAAAGTACTGGTGGTGTCCCCTGGTCTGATCCCCTCCTGATCGATGACAGCAGCAGGTTAGAAGATTAAAAAAACTAAGGTTACCTGTAATCCCTTTGTTCACACAATGTCAGAGAAATGTTGTTAAATCTTCTGCCTGGCAGACCTTGCACATGCCGTAGTCCGTGAGCTTAATGTGTCCTTCGTGGTCCAACAGAACGTTGTCCAGTTTCAGATCTCGGTAAATGATGCCCTTCTCATGAAGGAAGTTCAGCGCGATGCAGATTTCTGCAGCATAAAATCTGTGGAGAAGAAAAGCGTGTTGGAATCACCAGGTAGCGCCACCAGCAGGCTAAAGCTGTGCACAGCGGGGCTGAAGTCCTGCCTTCAGTGTTGCATCATGAAAATATATGAGCAACTGTAACCCAGGGAACAGCAGACCGGGGCTCTGGGGCCACATGTGGCCCTCATCCCCTTCCTCATTAGTGATCATAGCAAATAGCATGTATTTATTATCAGTCGTTGCTAGCAGAATTAGTTTTTAATACAGAACACTGAAAATAAACTTTAACCATCCATCTGATTATCTAGTTTCAGCTGATCTCCTCCAGGGATGAGTAACCAAAACTCTCTGGCTGTAGAACCAAATGTGCTAAGTTTGAATTCAGCAGCTGCGCCCTCCGAAGGCCAGATTCATTGGCCGATTACGTCATGGTCTATGAAAGTAAATCTGTGTCGCTGGGATTTGATAAGAAAATGCCACTAAAATTTAAATATTGTATGTTTGTACTTACTGTTTCAGTGTTAAAATATATTCAGAACACATTTTTGACCTAAAAAAAATATACATTGTCACTATTTCTACACAGTTAAAGTTTCATTTGTTATTTTCTCTTCAAGCTAAAAATTCACATTACTATTTAAAAGTGATTACATTTTCAATGGATTGTGGCGTCCAACACCCAGCCAATCCCGTTACGTTTTCTTAGTCACGTGACGTGACGTTTGTGGCGCTCATACTTAAGGAAAACCAGCATGACGGAGCCGGTCATGCAAGCTAACGCTAACTCATCAGTGAATTTATTACTTTCATTTTTCTGTAGTTGAGTTAGCGTTAGCTTGCATGACCGGCTCCGTCATGCTGGTTTTCCTTCTGTATGAGCGCCACAAACGTCACGTCACGTGACTAAGAAAGCGTAACGGGATTGGCTGGGTGTTGGACGCCACAATCCACTGCTAATGTTTGTGACCTGAAGTAACCCTTCCCTTTTTTCACTGAATTTAGACGCCGAATTTAAGACGGTGAAATAGAGCCAGTTGAATCTCAGGAGGCTGAAATTTGAATTTTTTTATATGCGGATTTTTTTAACACCGAAAAATTAAACTGAAAAATAAGTATTGAAAATTTAATCACTTTGAAATAGTAATGTGAATTTTTAGCTTGAAGAGAAAATAACAAATGAAATTTCAACTGTGTAGAAATAAAGACAATGAATTTCTTTTTAGGTCAAAAATTTGTTCTGATATATTTTAACACTGAAACAGTAAGTACAAACATACAACATTTAAATTTCAGTGGCATTTTTAATTCAAATCCCAGCGACACACATTTACTTCCATAATGGTCAGTTTGGATTGGAAGATTCCTTATTAAGCGGCTGACAAATGCAGCCATCTTTGTGCCCGTTTTGAAGGTCAGATCGGTGTATCCTCCGTAGCCTTGGGTATCCCATGATTCATTACAAGTTCAAGCAAACTGGTTGCTCAGAGGAATAAGGGAAATGGTGCCAGTGGCGAGTATAGTAATTGCAGTTTAATATAATAAAAAGTATGTGAATAAAACAGGACTGCCACTCTGAGCAGGACCCTGAACCCATTACTGCTACCCGAGCGCTGTTCAATGGCAGGGGGATGTGTTAAAAACAGAGAGTGAATTTCGTTTCTCTGTACATCTGATGCTGTAATGACAATAAAAGAAAAGCAGGTCAAAGCTTCCTAAAATGCTGAGTCATGTTTCGACACGTCCCTCTGATGGGAATCAATCATGTCCGTTTAAGGGGGAATTAATTCACAGGTTTTATTTTTAATCATAAACATTCCTTCCACTGGAGTCTCCTAATGTTGTATCATGGCTCCTTCACCAACACTGGTGTTAGAAAAACTCACAGTGACCCGTGTTTTCAGCAGTCACTTATTTCACTTATTATTTTATAACTCAGTGTAACAGAAATTAAACCCTTGGTGAAAACTAAACCTCTAAAAAGGTTTCTACAGGTGTGTTTTCCACCATCTTCATTCTTGTCCCTCAAACATCTTCAGGCTGCGACTTTGTTCATCAACTCATCCGTTAAATCAGTCACGCTTTGGCTGCGGCCGTTAGCTCCTTCAGCCTCATGCTGTGAGTCAGGCTTTAAACCCTTTTGGTGATGATAAAATGTACTTGGAGCGCTGGGCTGGTGAGTCAGCGGTGTGTTTTCTCTCCATGTGTAGGTAGTGTTTTCTGTCTCTTGGAGACAAGCCTTCATTAACTCTGACAAGCCTTTCTGTGTCTGGCTGCTGTAAACCAATGATTGTCAAACACTGAGGGGGGGAAAGTCGGCGTTGGAGCGATGTTTGACAGAGGAATCACGAATCCCACGCCGCCCCCCCCTCACCCACATCTCGGCTCTGGCAGCCTCTGTTGTTTCAGACGGCGCAGAGACACGTCCTATCAGCATCACCCTGCATCGCCCACTGCGCGGGGGAATGCATCAGGGCCCTCTCTGCTCATGAATATGTGCAATCATTATGAGCGCTGCTTTGCATATGTACAGCCACTGTCTCCAGGATCCAGATTGAAGAGGCCGATTGGGGCCCAATGGTGCCTCTCTGCATAACTGAGCCTTTGATCCCAAATCTATCAGAGCTGCGGTTTGACTAACCCTCAAGCAGACAGGCACAATGAATTATGGGAGCTCATTACGTTTCTCCTGGATTTAGAGAAAAAGTCTTAAATGGGAATCGGTGGAACGTCCCTGTGAACATCTGTTTGGTTGGAAAACAGAGGAGAAGGATCTTCAGCTTGATCAGTTCCTAAAGCCTCAGTCACAGCTTGACCATTTAGAACAGATGATGCCTGACGCACAAAAAAAATGGCCGAAAAGGCTGGCACACGTAGGATAAGTTATGGGTACGCTGAAACTCGCTGAAACTCGCTGGCACACGTCGATATACGATGACATACGGCGAGTANAACGCCACTCAAACAAACTACATTGAGCCCGCGGTCTGCATTTGTAACGAGAATAAATTCAGGAGAATGAAGCTAAAGGGATACAAAAAATAAACTTGTAATATTACAAAAACAAAAATACTACGAATACAAAGGGGCGCAATGTAGTTTGTTTGAGTGGAGTTGCCATATCGTTACGAGTGGCGTTGCCATATAGTGACGGCCGAGTTGCCATATTATGACGTCATCAAAAGGCGCAGGCCCCCCGAGTCAATCTGGCAGCCCGAGTCAATCTGGTACCTACACCGGTCATGCAAGCTAACGCTAACTCAACGGTGAATTTATTACTTTCATTTTTCTGTAGTTGAGTTAGCGTTAGCTAGCATGACCGGCTCCGTCATGCTGGCTTTATTTCAGTATGAGCGCCACAAACGTTACATCACGTGACTAAGAAAACGTAACGGGATTGGCTGGGTGTTGGACGCCACAATCCATTGCTAATGTCTGTGACCTGAAGTAACCTTTCCCTTTTTACACTGAATTTAGACGCTGAATTTAAGAAATAGAGCCAGTTGAATCTCAGGAGGCTGAAATTTGAATTTTGAAAGGTTGAATTTTTTTATATGGAGAAAAATTAAACTGAAAAATAAGTATTGAAAATTTAATCACTTTGAAATATTAATGTGAATTTTTAGCTTAAAGAGAAAAAACCAAATGAAATTTCAACTGTGTAGAAATAATGACAATGAATTTCTTTTTAGGTCAAAAATTTGTTCTGAATATATTTTAACACTGAAACAGTAAATACAAACATACAACATTTAAATCTCAGTGGCATTTTTAATTAAAATCCCAGCGACACAGATTTACTTCCATAATGGTCAGTTTGGATTGGAAGATTCCTTATTAAGCGGCCGACAAATGCAGCCGTCTTTGTGCCCCTTTTTGAAGGACAAATCCGGTGTATCCTCCGTAGCCTTGGGTATCCCATGATTCATTACAAGTTCAAGCAAACTGGTTGCTCAGAGGATAAGATAATGGTGCCAGTGGCGAGTATAGTAAGTGCAGTTTAATATAATAAAAAGTATGTGAATAAACGGGACTGCCACTCTGAGCAGGACCCTGAACCCATTACTGCTACCCGAGCGCTGTTCAATGGCAGGGGGATGTGTTAAAAACAGAGAGTGAATTTCGTTTCTCTGTACATCTGATGCTGTAATGACAATAAAAGAAAAGCAGGTCAAAGCTTCCTAAAATGCTGAGTCATGTTTCGACACGTCCCTCTGATGGGAATCAATCATGTCCGTTTAAGGGGGAATTAATTCACAGGTTTTATTTTTAATCATAAACATTCCTTCCACTGGAGTCTCCTAATGTTGTATCATGGCTCCTTCACCAACACTGGTGTTAGAAAAACTCACAGTGACCCGTGTTTTCAGCAGTCACTTATTTCACTTATTATTTTATAACTCAGTGTAACAGAAATTAAACCCTTGGTGAAAACTAAACCTCTAAAAAGGTTTCTACAGGTGTGTTTTCCACCATCTTCATTCTTGTCCCTCAAACATCTCCAGGCTGCGACTTTGTTCATCAACTCATCCGTTAAATCAGTCACGCTTTGGCTGCGGCCGTTAGCTCCTTCAGCCTCATGCTGTGAGTCAGGCTTTAAACCCTTTTGGTGATGATAAAATGTACTTGGAGCGCTGGGCTGGTGAGTCAGCGGTGTGTTTTCTCTCCATGTGTAGGTAGTGTTTTCTGTCTCTTGGAGACAAGCCTTCATTAACTCTGACAAGCCTTTCTGTGTCTGGCTGCTGTAAACCAATGATTGTCAAACACTGAGGGGGGGAAAGTCGGCGTTGGAGCGATGTTTGACAGAGGAATCACGAATCCCACGCCGCCCCCCCCTCACCCACATCTCGGCTCTGGCAGCCTCTGTTGTTTCAGACGGCGCAGAGACACGTCCTATCAGCATCACCCTGCATCGCCCACTGCGCGGGGGAATGCATCAGGGCCCTCTCTGCTCATGAATATGTGCAATCATTATGAGCGCTGCTTTGCATATGTACAGCCACTGTCTCCAGGATCCAGATTGAAGAGGCCGATTGGGGCCCAATGGTGCCTCTCTGCATAACTGAGCCTTTGATCCCAAATCTATCAGAGCTGCGGTTTGACTAACCCTCAAGCAGACAGGCACAATGAATTATGGGAGCTCATTACGTTTCTCCTGGATTTAGAGAAAAAGTCTTAAATGGGAATCGGTGGAACGTCCCTGTGAACATCTGTTTGGTTGGAAAACAGAGGAGAAGGATCTTCAGCTTGATCAGTTCCTAAAGCCTCAGTCACAGATTGACCATTTAGAACAGATGATGCCTGACGCACAAAAAAAATGGCCGAAAAGGCTGGCACACGTAGGATAAGTTATGGGTACGCTGAAACTCGCTGAAACTCGCTGGCACACGTCGATATACGATGACATACGGCGAGTACGCATGCTCAAAATGTCCTGACAAATGCCAGCGTACGCCATACGAGCGCCATTAGTTCAAGGTCAGTTATCTGATCGCTACTAATCAGTCGTGGTGTCCAGCTTATCCTAAACCTCTGAGTAACTTATCCAGAACTTCTCTCCAACAAATATCAACGTATCTGACGTGTTCCAGACGAGCGCTGAACGTGTTTCTACCTTCCAGCTACTGTATAATGGCGTATTGGCAGCGTTTTGGTATAAAGGGGGTCCACAGGAGGAAACCGTCAGTTCTCCTCCAGACTTCATCCCCATCATAGGGGGAGCCAGAAGGTGAGGGTGGCGAGTCGCCCCTAAAATGATGCACAAGCATAATTTTATGCCCATGAAATTATGCACAAGTTAGGCTGTCGATGGACAGAAGTTCTGGACTTGTTATGAATATTCTATGTAAAATTGAAAAAAAAAATCAATTAGGCTGCTCAGTGGAACAGTGGGTAGCACTGCTGCCTTGCAGCAAAAAGGTTCTGGGTTTGATTCCTGGCCCGGGGTCTTTCTGCATGGAGTTTGCATGTTCTCCCTGAGCATGCGTGGGTTCTCTCCGGGTACTCCGGCTTCCTCCCACAGTCCGAAAACATGACTGTTAGGTTGATTGGCTTCTCTAAATTGTGCTTAGGTGTGAGTGTGTGTATGAATGGTTGTTTGTGTCTCTGTGTTACCCTGCGATGGACTGGCGACCTGTCCAGGGTGGACCCCGCCTCTCGCCCATTGACTGCTGGAGATAAGCACCAGTACCCCTCGCGACCTCACTCAGGACAAGTGTGTTAGATAATGGATGGATGGATTGTAAAAAAATACATAAAAACTTCAGTGTATATCAGCGTTTTAGGAGATTCTGGAACGTCGGGCGTATACTGTCTAAATCGGCAAGGTGTGACAGAGCCCTGACCTCACTGCACCAGATATTTGCTTCCTACCCTTTAGCAGGGGTCTGCAACCTTTCATATCCAAAAAGCCATTTGGCCAAAGTCCGACCAAATAAAAGCTGTTAGAGCCAAAAAATATAACCTCACTTTTTCAAAAACATACCTTTTTTTTATATATTTTTTTTATTATCTCATATAGGAAATTAGTTGCCATCTTAAACAACCAACAAATGATGTATTTTTAGCTTTTAAAACAATATTAAAACACATAAATTCCAACTTAATTAAAAGAAAAAATGCTCATATGCTTTAGTGTTTTTTATAAGATGGAAAAGAATGACATAAGACTAGTACATTATTTAGCTTTTTATATACATTTTAGCCCCTATTAAGAGCCGCTGTAGAGGGTCCAAAGAGCCACAGGTTGCAGAGCCCTGCCTTATAGGAACAGTAAATCCCTGTTAGTGTCGGCTGTCAGGTCTCCTGAGCAGCTTCACCAGAGTTCTGATGGTCTTGTGACTGTAATCTGGTCCGCAGAGAGTTTATCAGAAATCAGATCCATTCATTATCATCTCAAAGTGACAGCCACTCCTGCTGGAAGGGAAGTTTTGAATGTGGAGGGGGTGTGGATGCAGAGCTTGGATCATGTGTGGAAGCAGCTGTTTAACCTCAGAATGCTCACCTGGCGTGTTCCTCCGGAAGCTTCCTCTGTCGTTGCATATGAAACATCAAGTCTCCGCCGTTCACGTATTCGATCACCAGGAACAACCTGGGGAAAAACGGTCAGAACATTCTGACTCAAACATCAGGTAGAATCGGACCTGCGTTACACAGGACTGGGCTGAATAGTGTTTGATTTATGAAGTGGACTTAAGTTCTGATCCGTTCTGTTTCTGGGTGAGGCCTGCTGCAGAATCAGGAGGGATTTACTCTTAATTTACCCCTCAGTGTTTTTTTGCTTTTATGTTTCCATTTAATGCAGAAATCTAGTGACATCTAGTGGTATAATGATGTGTCAGCGCATAATTAAAAAGAACAAGGTCAAAGTTCAGTTCAAACAGATGAAAATGAACTGGATCATGTTCATTGTTCACTTTTTCAAAAATGATCTATCTTCATACACCTATAAATGAACTAGTTCATGTTCATTTGGTAAATGAAGCCACAATCCTCCACAATAGAGCCTCATATTTCCACCTTCAAATGTGTGATCATAATATATAGAAAGAAATGGAAAAGTCTGGATGCAGTCAAGTTTTACTGGATGAGCAGTGAAGTTTTTTTTAGCCGAATGACACGGAACTTCAGAAACATTCAGTAACATTCAGGTTGTGCTGAAAAGATCTGGATCAAAATGATTTCTTCCTCATTTAGCAGCAGGTATTTCCAAAGAGCTCAGATGCTTTAAATGAGTCTCTTTGAATTTGAGGTGGAGGGTTGATGTACGGACTTGTTTAAGTCCAGGTGGGCACAGTTTGCATAAAAACGTCACTTTTTTTTCTGTCCCAGTCTTCCTTTGTTAGTCGATCAAACTCTGCCAAGCGCTCGGCTAACCTGACATCAGAAATACCAGCAGATGAGTCTGAATGGAGCAGACTAGAACTAGGAGTAGAGATGCTGCTCCGTCAGGCTGTTTGCTGTAATAAGTGATTTTATCCAATGAAAAGGGTCGTTATCAGTTGAACGTGTGAGCTGTGTGTGTCGCTGGTTATTCTCACAGTGAACGTTGCTCGTCCCCAGCGCTAACCTGGTCTGTAGCAGGTTTTCTTCAGTAAACTCTGAATCTGATATGTAATAGTTTGACTGAATATTTATTCCTGACATCTAAAAAAACAATTTTTTTCTTTGTCTAAATGATCATTTCAAACCAAACTGCATTCTCCATATCTGGAATAAACATTCTGGGTGTCTATAAAATTATTTCAGATCTCCATATTCCTAATATTACTGGTCAGCATTTGTATTTTACCTTTAAAAAATGTTTTTCAGATATCATAAATCAATTTTCAGTCAAGATAAATGTGAGAACGGCCACTTAAAATGTATCAACATTTCTAGATATATAAAATAAATTCTTTTTTAATTATTTTTAATTCTAGTTTTTTTTTTTACTTTCTAAAATTCAATTTCTGCTAAAAAATGTCATTTAGAAAATATATTATTACAGTTTAGTCTAGAGTGTTGTTTTATATCAGGAAGAATCTTATTTTAGTGATCTACAAATGGAACAGAGTGCTTTCAATAAAAGTAAAAACGGCCTGCCATAGGGCACTTCAAAGAAACTTATGCACAAACTCCAGCAGCAATCTCCTCTTTAGTAGCTGTGGCGCTGTTTCTCTGTCTAACACATTCTCCTTGTTTTGTTTTGTTTGTTTTGCATTTCTTCTCTAAAATCTCTAGTTCCTTGGGGGTGAAATAAGCACTTCCTGTTGCCTGTAGTCATGGTAACTCTTTGAATCGGTGCTCCACTGTTAATAGCTTTTCATACATGTTGTTCACACACTTAACTCTGAGTGGACCTAGTTAAAGTAGATTGAACTGATTGATAGCAGCCGTTGTGAAACCGAACATTCGCAATTCCCCAAATTAACAAAGATCAATTTAGAGTTTCGGATTAGAATCTGAATTTGTTAAACATGCTTCAAGAAACAGAGCCAAGCTCAGCCTCTGATGTAAAGGTTTCTTAAACACCTGTTAATAAATATAAGAGAACTTCCTCAGTAAATAATAAAAAATGACTCCAGGTAAAGACTACATAGTGACATCATTTATAGAAAAGCAGATTCCAGCTCTTTCCTGCTTCCATCTTTGCATAGTTTCTGCTCAAACAGCTGGAGTTGAAAAATGAAAAGCACACAGGCTGCCATTCAATGCTGTTAGAGATCTAACAGCTGATTTACCAACTGATTAAAAACCATGAAGGCATAAAATATCAGGCTCTGACTGAGGAGGCAACATTTGGAGAGTAGACTTTGGGAATGAAAATCTCCTCAGGGTCTTTGAGGAACATTTTTATTGCAAAGGCATTTCTCACATCAGGAAGAGGAGGTGTCGAGTACAGAGAGCCGGTCGTAAATGAGCAGCGTCAGTCTTATCTGACTCTTACCGACTTTCTGTCTGGAAACAGGAGTGGAGGCCGACTAAGAATGGATTGGTGGACGCCTGCTCGAACACATGCTTCTCTGTCTGCACCCAGTCGATATCCTGCAGGGAGGAGTGGAGATGGACAGAAACGGGGAGGGGAGATAATTACAATCAATCTGTCTGATCGATAGGCTTCCAGAGACAGACGCAGATCCTCCAGAGAGCAGTCAGCGTTCATGCTCGCTGTAATTCAGACTGTTTGCTTCTTCCAGCTGTCCCGGATAAAAGGCTGCGCTGTGACTGATGGCCGAGAACAAAGCAAACGTTATGAACTGATCCTGCAAAGTTAGTGAGTCACATAATGACGGGCATTACTGTGGCTGAACATTTCCCTGCGTTCAGACCTGTCCCACACGTTAATCACCTCATTATTTCCTTTTTCATTTATAAAATAACAAAGTATTGCCTGAGGATTACAATAAAGCATAATTAATGCAATTTATTCTTTTTGTTGTAAAACATTTCTTCGGTTAAAGCTACAGAAGAAAGACAGACATCAGGAGAAACAATCGGCCCTCTCTGATACCTGCAGGTTGTGCTGAGAAGCCTGCAACTAAACAAATAGATTAATCTGTTGATTATTTTTTCGATTAATAATCAGATAACCACAGGTTCTTTAAAGAAGACTTTTTACAAAATTAAATTAAACCAATCTCAATAAGTGCTATTTTTCTTAAAATAAGTGCATTTTTTCTTGAATTACGGGGGGTGAGAAACTTTGCCAATGGAAGAAGAAAATGTACTTTTAAAATAATAAAAAATAATTATATTGTCTTATTTCAAGTGTGTATTATCTAATTATCTTATTTTAAGAGTAAAATTACTAGGGATGGAACGGTTTATGAAAACCGTCCGAACCGTTCGGTTCGACTGTCTCGGTTCGATTCGCGTGTGTTGCGTTCGGTTCATGCGCTGCTCCTTTTTCACATAGGCGAAGCGTTTACACTCCAGAGCAGAAGGTGGCGGTACTGCGACCAAAGCCAACCACCAGTAGTAAACAAGAGGAAGAAGAAGCGAAGCAGCGTATAGCAGAAAAAAATCAGTTGTTGTGGAGAATTGTGTGGGTATGGCGAGTGGGAAAGAACAGGAGATGGAAGACGCGCCAGCAGCACTTTATAGGTCTGCTGTATGGGACCACTTTGCATTTAGAGTGACCTACGATGACGGCGGAAAGAAAGTTGTGGATAAAAGTGCAACAGTGTGCGAGCATTGTGCAACACGTTTTGTTTATGCTAACAGCAACATGACCAACATGTCAGGCTAACCCTGAAATGCCACATACTCCGTCAGCGCTCCGCCCCGCTGCGCTCCAGACCGCCTGCACAAAGCAAAGCCTACAGCCTCCACTGTGGCTCCCGTCCGCTCCACTCTGAGTTTATTGGAGATCGTAGAGAGCATGCGCCAGATGATTAAATTCAAAGCAGCAAAACATGCGGAAATGATCCAGGGTTTACGCAAAACATTTAAAATAATTACAATTCATTAATTTCTTTGGATTTTTTCATTAATTTCATTAATTTCCATTAATTTTTATTAATTTTTTTATTTTTTAGTGTAACAATAAACATATACTGAACCAAAAACCGTGACCACAAAACCATGAACCGAACCGAACCGTGGATTTTGTGAACCGTTCCACCCCTAAAAAATACTCATTCCATTGCCAAACATTTTATTTACCTACTTAAATTAAGAGTAGATACACTTGATTTAAGACATTTTTACTAATTTTTAGATCGTTTTTGCAGTGTAGGAGGTAGAGCCTGGTCCCTGATGGACAGTGGTTGCAGAATTTCCTCTCTATATCCTGTAATGAAAAAGCCTCCAATGATGAGGCAGAAGCCGCTGCTCACCATCACACTAGCAGAAGCCGCTACGCAGAGAGGATCAGCCTGATTTTTCACGGGTTTTACCTCCATACGTGCTTAACAAGTAAGACATATTTTAAGGCAGTGATTCTAAAAGTGTCTTTTCTATGAAGGTAGATTTGTTTCTTTATTATTCAATATAAAAAAAAAAAGTTGCTTAAATCAAAAAATATATTTTCAATTAAAAAAATCTTCAACTTTTCAATCAAAGAAAAAAGTATTTGAATGCAAAAATATATTTTTGATAGAAGTCCTGTCTTTTTTTGTTTAAAGCAACTTTTTTAATTGAAGTAACATTGTTTTTGATTGGACCATATGATGGGTAGGACATTTGTGTCTTTATTATTCAATCAAAAAAGAAGTTGCTTCAAATAAACAAACAAAATAAAAAAATAGAACTTCAATGAAAAGATAAACGTTTTCAAATCATAGAAAATAGTTTTTGAATGCAAATAAAATATTTGAGACTCAAAAAATTGCATTCCGCAGTGGGAGGGTGCTTCTCTATTGGTCAGAAATGACTTTTCAGAACGACCTTCCTGATTCTTCTGTTTTATTAAATTTTTATCTTTAGTAGCTGAAGTAAAAGTCCTGTTCTGCCTTGATAGGATATTTATCACTAATGATGTCTGAGTTTATTACACCCTAATATTACCTGCCTGTTGTGTTTCAGAACTAATGTTTTCCTCAGTAGTTTATCTAATTAGGACATTTCCTCTGCCTGGATATACAGCTATAACCTTCATTCTGCAAGTGGCAAAGATTTGTGAATGGAATGCGAGCGCTGTCCTTGATCTAAAAACAAAGTAATATTCTGATAAGCTTGAGCCACGGATGTCTCTTCTTCTGCAAATGTGTATGATGTAATTCAGTTCAATTCAGTTTATTTATATAGCGCCAATTCACAACACATGTCATCTCAAGGCACTTTACAGTTCAACCAGATCATCCAGTCAGATTGATACAAAGTTTTCTATCTAAGGAAAACCAGTTGATTGCATTGACTCATTGACTCAAATACAATCCCTCACACTAAGCATGCTTGTAGTGATAGTGGAGAGGAAAAACTCCCTTTTAACAGGAAGAAACATCCAGCAGAACCAGGCTCAGTGTGAGCGGCCATCTGCTGAGGCCCACTGGGGTTCAAAGGATGTGATGATGTGAGACTGGAGATCTATAAAATGCTTCTCTAAGTTTTATCGGGGCCACTTCATGAGAAGTGAGCCCAGTTGGTGAGCAGCTGCCTTCTGTAACTCTAAGCAACTTCTCTGATCTGCCTAAGATTACAATTTCTATTAAAATCAGTTGTCATGTCTCATGGTTATTTAATACATATAAATTATAAAGTGTTATTTAAATAGTTTGTCCCTAATGATCTCTTTTTGGGAAAAATAAAACCAGAGAGAGACATCTTGACGGTGTAAACACAGAGCTTTCCTTTAACAGCCTCCATCATTAAATCCTTCCATAGCAAACTGTGAGACCGTAACCGGCTGCACCAGGCGCTCTGGTAGCATAGCTCAGTTATTAGCAACTCTAAAAATTTATTACAGTGATTCTGATGATCTCTGGGTCTTTGGGTGAAAATCAAAGGTTTTGTAGTTTTTCTGTTGCTCATGGAGCCAAACTGCATCTGGAAATGATTCTAGTTTAGTTCTTCCTGTTTTATAACAGAAACCTCTTTAATTCAGGAAATCTCACTGAGCGTTTTTGAGACTGACACCACAGACCTGTTCTAAACTCTGAAGCAGACATAATGCATGACAGATGAAATCTTGTGGTGTTGTTCTGAGTTAATGTGATCATGAACAAGTGGGAGGGGAGGGGGGGGTGCAGCCAGAAACACTGGAGGGCCGCTGATTTAGGAGAAAATAAACAAGCTTTCCAACAGAGAGCGAACAGCCAGAAGCAGTTATGTGAAGTCAGGGGAGGGAGTGAATGACGCAGGAAACAACAGCAAATACTGATAATAGTTGAACTGTTTGTCCACTTAACCATTTTATTTGTTTGCTTGTATTTATTTTAACATGTGAAAAATCAATGAATTTACACATTTCCTGCAATTTGAGATTGTGGTGGGCGGAGCCTAACCACTGATGTGTCCCACAGACCGATAGAGGTGGTTGGTGTGTTTGATTACATTCAGGGCGGATTTAGGAAATATGGGGCCCTAGGCCAGGGGTCAGCCATATTGGACCAAAAAAACAAACAAAATCTGTCTGGAGCCACAAAACGTCTTATTTAAGTGTCGTATGGCAACGCGGCCTCTAAGTGTTTTATCCCACTATAGACCACCCAGTTTAGGTTTTTGTCGCATTGCTTAAATTATAGAAACACAATAAAGGAATCTTTCTATGGTGGACATGTCTCTGTTGGGAGGAACTGATTGAATCATGAGGAACCAAGCAGGAACTGAAAATAAAAACAATCATTTTCGTGTGGGAGCGGCCATTTTTGCCCAAATATAGTAACCCCTCCCTCCTGCCATCTTCCGGCAGTGACGTGACAGTGCGGTTAGCCTAGCGCCATTCTCCCCGCTTTACAAGCAAAATCAATGGGAACTACTAGACTGGGACTTGATCAACAGCCGATACCGCACCGTGACGTCACAAACCGCTAGGTGGCAGTAGTGTTCTTTGACAAACATGGATGCCTCCAGTAAAGGAACTAAAGTCGTTGAATTCTGAATATGACCGGACTTTTCCTTTAAAAAATGTCAATAAAGGGCGGCACACTGAACATCAGTGTCCTGCGGGGGAAGATAAGGGAGAATCTAAAACCTGAGGAATGAATCCTCTATAAGAAAAATTGAGTTAATTACAGGGATAAGCCCCAAAAATATTCAAATAATAAAAAATGACCGTGTATTAAATATTCTTTGTCTTTCCTGATTCAGTCTAACAGCATGGCGTCGATCAATATATGATTAAAAGCTTTAAAAATAACGGCTGAGGCACTTGCAGCGTTCATTAGCCTCACCACACGTCACCGACCCAAAGAAGCTTTCCTCATTTCTCAGCTTCCTTCTTCTTTCTTGTTGCACACAGTCAGTTAGACAGTCTGCATCCATGCACCTGATTCTAACGATTGATTGTCTGGTTTTATTTGCTATCGCCTGACCTTTGGTCCCTTTAGGTAGTGGGAGAACATCAGAGGGTAATCTTGAACGTTCAGCCTGAGGCAAAACGTTTT